AAGAGGCTCGAAGCCTACAATAGTTTTAATATCTCAAGAGGGCTCTGCATGGTGATTGGTCAAGCGCTGCTTTGTTCGGGTTCCAAGGATCTGGGAGTGTGCAAGTGAACCAGCTTGTTATTTAATTATCCTTTTGGAAAATGAACAACACGGATTTTCCTTGACGTACAATAGGGTCACATCTGGATGAACCCACTGTAAGTCGGAAATACCCCAAGTCAAAGATGCACTTGTTACACCTGACGTCTGGAACATTGTAGCTTAGCCTAACCTACCTTAAATGTGCTCAGAGCACTTAAATTGGTCCATACCTGGGCCAAACCATCTAACTCAAACCCTCTTTCATAATGAACTGCTGACTATCTCACGTAACTTACTGAATATTGTACCAGAAGTGAAAACCAGTTGTTGTGTGTCGGTTGTGTGCTCCAGTGATCATGTGGCTGACTGGGGGCTGCAGCTCACTGCCACTGCCCGGGGTCACAAGAGAAATCATGCTGCCTATTGCTAGTCTGGGAAAAGACCAAAATTCAAAACACAAAAATCTCGTGTCTCTGAAGGCATGTGGCTTTCACACCGAGAATGGTATAAGTTGAATGCTTGTGAAGTCAGGGACCATATGTACATGCTTCTCTGAGATGCCAGCTACCTGTTCCTCATCTGCTTCTCCCTCTCCCGTGTTAGCTCACACCTTGGAGGACTCACAAAGTAGAGGAGTGTGCCAGAGTTTGCCTTCCCACTGAGAAACTAGTTGATATTCCAGCTGCAACAATGAATGGAGTTCACTGGCTATCAGTGTTTCTGCTTCTGATGGCTCGTTGGGTGGATGCCTTAGATCCATACATTTTATTTCTACTCTGACAGTCTCTGGGTGGGAGAGGTGGGGGCTTGTCCTTCGAGAGTGAGAATGCTGTGAAAGTCCAGTGAGTGGGCCTCTGGGGTTGACAGGCTGCTCTAGGGAACAGAAAGGCAAGAATTCTGGTATCTCTCTGCTCTCAGGAGAGGCTGAAATAGAAGATTTTAAACATTATTTTGGTGAATTGGTGATTTCCATTCACAGCTTCAGAAACTACCTAGAGATGGTTGCATGACCCATGGTAGCATCTGGGAAGAGAGACAAAGGCCAGGATTTAGCAGATCTGTGCTTGCCCTTGTAAACGCCAGGTCCATCCAGAACCTGCAGAGCCATGGAACTAAGCATCCTGCTGAGCACAGTTGGTGGTGGTACAGGATCCACCCTCTTTTCTTAGGTAGAAATGGTCCCGGACCTACTTTACAGACCAGATCAATTGTTAGATTCTCCAAGAACAATTTGGATTTTACCCCTCCTGTCCTGAGCAGATGGCTTTAATTGTGAGGGACAGACTCTACTTTGAACCAGCCTTGATAATGACAGGGATTCGAGACAGAATTAGACATGTCTAGATCCAGAGGTTCAAAGTTTCCCATCAGGATTCTGCTTTTCTCTTTATCCCTTCCAGGTCACGTTCTCAGGCAGGCTTTCTCCAGGGCAGATGGCCTTCCAGAGCCCCAGACTTATACTTTTTTTGCACCTGAATCTCAGAAGGAGTCAGATTCTTTCTCTCCCACTCCATTCCTTAAAAATGCTTCCAATAAGCCCTACCTCATAACCATTTAGAGCCGAGAGTTCCTCCATCGGCCTGTGTGGTACAGGCCACCCAGGTAGGAGAAGTGGGAGCCTTTGAGTGACATCCGCCCAGGTCAGAGGCTGAGGACAGGGCTGTCCTTGAGGAAGGGATGTGGGAAACCAAAGAGCAATAGACACAGAATCCTGTGTGGCTTCTCCCAATTATTGCATTGGGATTATATTATAGGGCTTGGGTCAGACAGGGCTGGTTTGAATATTAATCCCACCGCCTACCAACCGTGTCTTCTCCGGCAAGCTGCTTAAGTACACCAAGCCTCAGTTTCCTTATTTGGTTAGCAGGAACAGTGGTAGTACCTGCATCAAAAGGTAGAATGGTAAAAATCTGAGCAGAATGAAGAACTCAACACGATGCCTAGCTCATATAATAGGGACACAATAAATATTGGCAATTTTTATAGGCAACTCTTATAATCTGGCAACTGTCAAGATGACTAAGAATGACGGAGTGGATATTTTTATTGTTTTTCTGTTTTTGAACCAGAAGGAAGTCATTCCACACATTTCAAAAGATCAGTATCAAACAAATTTTTAAAATATTTGGCTCTATTTTCCTGGAGTTGTCAGAACCAACTCTAGAAAAAACTAAGACCATGGGCTACTCTGCTCAATTCTGTGAAGAAAAGACGATTGAAGAAAAAGGCAAGCTGGGCTCTAGCCTCGTCCCCTGTTCTGGAACTGATCATCTGACCTCCACTGAGGGACTCCTCCTTCAACCCCCGGGCTACCCTAGACCGCAGCCCCCTCCTACCTTCCTCCACATAGTGACCCCAGGATAGATATAGTTACCAGAATTTTTCTTTTCCGTTCTTTTTTTGTGAAGTTCAAGAGTTTCATCAATATGTCTAAGAGAGTCTCTCTCCTCCTTGGGGCAGCTCTTTCTGAGCTTTTCCTATCCTGTGCATGGAGCACAGGGACAGACCAGGGAAGACTCTGATGGACACCAGTCTATGACTCTGTAGGCCAGGGGCCAAGAGGGCTTTGTAGTGCCCAAGAGGGTGCACTCTGGTCAGAGTGGCCTGGCTCACATTCCAACTCACTACTTCCTGTGTGGGTGATGTCACAGAGTCATCATGAACAGTAGAGGAGGGAATACACCGGAAGTACTTAGAATGGTGAGCAGTGTGAACCGTTGCTGTTTATTACTGTTACTATGTCCTTTAAACTCTTGGGATTTAAATCATTGGTTCCACATGAGAAAGAAGTAGGAGAGGGCAGAGAACAATCAGTCAAGAATGATGGGTAGAACCACCAAGGGGTGGCATTCCACCGCTACAGAGAGACTAAAATAGGTAGAAAATAGAGTTTGTTTCCACAAGATACAGGCAGGAACACAAGAGACAGACAGCGATCTAAAACAACATTACAAAAGTTGTGTTCGGACAATGGGGTTGATTACCAGTGAGTGGCCAGAAGTAAGAGCCAGGAGGAGTCCCTTCGTATCCCAGGTGCAGGGACGACTTTAACAAGGATGTGGGGATTGAATCAGGCTCTGAAGAAAGGGAAATGTTTTCAAAGATAGGAAGGAACATCTTGGGTAGTAGAATAAACAGATGGAGGCCGCACGTTTGGCTGTGACGGAGGTTTCAAGAGTTGATGTTGAAGAGGTGGAGGGTGAACCCAAAACTTCAGCAGGTGTTGAGGAGGGAAGGAGTTTGGAAACAACATTTTAATCAACAGGGAGCCTTTGGATAGGGAAATGACCTGTCAACAACACTGTTCAAGGAGCTAGACCCCAGTGGGAGTGAACGGGGTGAAGCCCAGAGGGAAGAGTGCAGGGGGAGGGACCAGTTCACTCAGGATTTATGCATAAAGGCCCTACTATGTGCCAGGCACTCACTGTACTCACGGATCCAGACAGACAAGGCCTCTGCTTTCAGGGTGCTTAGACTTTAGTGAGTCCTAACTGATCCACTCAAGGACACTGATGGATGCTGACATTATTAGGCAGGAGGTTGTACAGGAACAGGATATTCATAGAGTCTCAGATTCTCACTGCATAGATGACATATTAATTACAAAGGGAAGTGGACTCCTTTTGGTAGCAAGAGTTCACGTTTCCACCTTAATCAACTGACTGGACCTAGTGTAATTGAGTTGAGATTTTCTGATGTGATGCGAATATGGGAATTCTATAAGATAGCTGACCTGAGTGCACTGAAGATTAAATGTCCTGGGAAACCAACGAAAAGGTTAGGGGGGCAGGTGAAAGGAGAAGAGAGCAGGGGTTGGCAAACTATATAGTCCAAGGGCTAATCCAGCCCATTGCCTGTTTTTGTAAATAAAGCTTTATTGGAATGCAGACACATCCTTCTCTTACTGATTTCTGCGCTATAGCAGCAAAGTAGGATAGTTGCCACAGCGACTCTGTGACCGGCAAAGCCTAAAAGATTTACCGTCTGTCCCTTTATAGAAAAAGTTTCCTGACTCCTGGAATAAAGAAAGCAACATAATAATGAAATGCAATTTCTGAATCTCGACTGGTTCCTGTATCAGGATAAAAAAAATGAAAATATCACTAAACAATTTCAGGGCAACTGGAGAATTCTAAAGAAAGAGTGTATTTTATTTTATTTTTTTTTTAAAGATTTTATTTATTTATTTGACAGAGATCACAAGTAGGCAGAGAGGCAGGCAGAGAGAGAGAGAGAGAGGGAAGCAGGCTCCCTGCTGAGCTGAGAGCCCGATGTGGGGCTCGATCCCAGGACCTTGAGATCATGACCTGAGCCAAAGGCAGAGGTTTTAACCCACTGAGCCACCCAGATGCCCCAGAAAGAGTGTATTTTAGATGACATTCCTGAATTCACATGAATTTTCTTGGGCATGACAACTGTAGAGTGTGTTGCATGGTGTCCTTCTTAGATGTTAAATGCTGAAGTATTTAAGGGTTACGTCATGATATCTACATTATATTTGTAAATGTTGACATTGTATTTGTAAATGATACAGCCAAAAAAAAAAAAAAAAAGAATAGAAAAAGAGAAAAAAAAGAATACAAACAAAATGTCCAAAATATTAATTGCTCACTCTAGAAGAAGGGCATGTGTTTATTATACTGTTCTTTCCATATTTCTGTAGACATAAAAATTTTCAAAATAAAATTTAATTAAAGAAAAATTAAACCCATTTTCATGGCCCAGATGTCATTTTTCCATAGGCTGTGTCCCTACCTACCAATGCAGGATCTTCCAGGACCTTCCTTTATGATGGAGGAAACACTGGGGACTAGAGGTGGGCGGCCTGTGCTTTAAAGATTGCTGTCACTCTGGAAGGCAGCCCGGACATGGTCTTCTCTTGTAACTTGGGGATTTTGCTTGTTGTCTCTTTTGCACAGTAATTCCATCAAGCTGGTGAATCTGCTCTCCATATTTATCAGCACATGGCTAACAGCAGCGGGGTTCATCCATTTGGTAAGTATCCTTGACGAGGCTTTAGCTCTGGCTTTTCTGCAGTAAGTCCGTCCCTGCGTCATTTTTTGACTTAAACTTTTTCTCTCTGAAGGAACTTCAGCCTCGCTGAAACTTCAGCCTCGCTGTAGGAGCAGGAGAAGCAACTGCGCCATTGTCTGGGTTTCCAACCCTTTTACCCTAAACTAGTTCCAAATGGTGAATGATGTTCGCTTCATTAACCTGAGTTTTTCAGTTCACTGGTTTGGTGGATTTTTCACCCTGTCTGCAGTAACCCAAGTAAGCCACAAGATGGCAGTGCGTCCTCAGCCAACACTTGAAAAGGTCTTCGCGACAAGGTTGGGCGTTTGACCCACATCTCTTAATAAACAACAAATACAGATGCCTCAATTTCTCTCCGCTTCCCCCTTACAAAAAGCCACCTCTGATTCTTTTGCCTGATTACTTGTCAAGTTATTTTGTATCTCCAAAATGTTAATTCTTCTAAATTAATCACTCTTTGAAAGGCTTCCATTATTAAGTCAAGTTATTTGTACCTCCTCAAGGAAGACCTTTATTCCTGCTTTTAGGGACCACAGCTTTTGTTGGAAGCGTGTTTCGCACAAGCACAAACTATTAAAACTGGAAGGAGCCTTATCTCACTCTGAAGCTTTGAGCAAATGTGCCTTCCCTTTACTAAGCCTCTAGCTGTGTTAAGGGGAGGAAGGTGCCTTTAGTCACCTCCCATCATCGGGATTTATGTAATTATTGTGGGAGGCGGGCCTGGAATGGAAGCTGGGGCTCTCCTTCAGTCACTAGATCTGAGGGCTCCCCGCCCACCCTTTTATGCTGATGGAATTCTGGGCTGAAATCACTCTTAGTAGGTAATAACCTCATCACCGTATTTGTTCTTCGGTAGTCCCGTGAGGTGAGCTCACCATACATTTTGGGAAGTAGCTTCTGCTCCACCAGGAAAGCTCCATGAATATGGCATGTTGGGCTCAAGAAGTGATGTGTAGGGGCACCTGGGTGGCTCAGTGGTTAGGCCTCTGCCTTCGGCTCAGGTCATGATCCCAGGGTCCTGGGATCGAGCCCCGCATCAGGCTCTCTGCTCAGCAGGGAGCCTGCTTCCTCCTCTCTCTCTGCCTGCTTCTCTGCCCACTTGTGATCTCTGTCTGTCAAATAAATAAAATCTTTAAAAAAAAAAAAAAGAAGTGATGTGTGAAAGAGGCTAGGTTTGTTTTGGAAGCTTTCTGCCAAGGAAGAACCAGAGGCTTGGTGGATTGGGGTTGGGGGCTGGCTGCCCACACGGGCCATGCCGGTGGGTCATAGGCACTGCCCATGTGGTGTACGGCAGGGCTGGGATCCTGGGAAGACCTGGAGATCCAGTCGCCTCTCTCCCTCTCTCCTGAGAGTAGTAGCTTGAGTGTCTCTCCTGCCTCCCTCACAGCTTTGTTGGTGGATCAAATTGATGGAAAGGTAAGGTGTTATGTGAACTTGCGTGCGCTGCACCCCTGGGGACAAAGGGCTCCCAATTCATATACTCTCCCTTGAGCGTAAGTATTGCCTCTAGCTGATTTGCCAACCGCAGAATTGAGTTGTTGCTACAGAGATCAGAAACTGTATGCTGCACAAAGCTGAAAATATTTACTATCTGATCCTTTACAGACAAAGCTTGCTGACCCTCAGTCTGAGGGGTTGCGCAAAAGCAAATTGTTCTCAAGAGCTCGACTTTCGTGCACTCAGGGAAATTCTTGCCCTCTGCGGGGTAGAGCCATCCCTGACATTCTGCAAAGCCAGGAGAGCAGAGTCAGACTCCGAGAGATGCTGATGGGGGTTCAGATGTAAGGTCTGAATGAGCGAAGCCCACCAGGCATTGCCTTGGTCAAAATGATGAAAAGAGGAGGCCCTGGTGGGAGAGTCTCGAATTTCCTTGGGAGCGCATGAGCCAGGCCCTCAGAGACTGAACAGGAACTCACAGAGAAAGGTCAGGGCAGGGCTCTCTGGCTCTTTCCTTGAAGGTAATGCTGTAAAACGTGGCCGGGGGCAATGCCTTCAGACTCTGCTGGCTTCAGATCTTCAACAATGAGAAGAAAACCGGAGTAGGGATATTTTATCTCTGCTCTTTCCCCTTCTCTGCCCCATCAGCCTGGAAGACAGGTGTGTGTCACCACCCCACTTTCACCAGGACCTGTGCAGAGGTTCCGAGTCATTGCTCCAGAGCTCACCGGGGTCACAGACACCTGGTGCTGAGGCTGCTAGAGGTTTTGGTTTCCTGGTATATCCTATGCACACAATGTCATCTTTTCTCTTCCCTGTCCCCTTGCTTTAGGTGGAGAATTCAGGGGACCCATGGGAGAATTTCCAGAACAACCAGGCTCTCACGTACTGGGAATGTGTCTACTTACTCATGGTCACCATGTCCACTGTTGGCTATGGGGACGTTTACGCAAAAACCACGCTCGGACGCCTTTTCATGGTTTTCTTCATCCTCGGGGGACTGGTAAAAATTCTTTATTATGATGTCGATTTTTATGGTCATTAATATTTTCTACTATCCGTTTCCTTAAAGCTTTGTATTTTAGATTCTGTGTTTCCGCATTACCAGCAAGTGATCGCCTTAGTGTTACCCCTGGGCTAAGTAAACCCAAACGCAATGGTGACTTTCCTGCGTGTTCCTTAGGTATGTTAGACTCGTTTCCCAGAGACCCAGGCGCCCTGCCCTTGCCGGGGTCAGCCTTTTCACCGGAAGGAAACCTAATGGTCTTCCAGAAAGGGATGCTCACTTATTAAGTGAGAGTGTCTGTCCCTTGGTAACGTAATTCAGCAGCTGATTCTCAGGGAGGACAGCTGCTGTCCCCGACCCAGTCCACACTGTGGACACTCTCTAGACAGTTTGCGGTTTCAAGAGCTCCCCCACACCCTTCATGATCCTCCCCTAACTTCCAACAAACACTGTGGCTGGGGCCTGCCCTGAAGAGTAGGGTCCCCGCGGAGGACAGGAAGCCTAGGGGTTTCCTGCAGGGGGACGTCCTTGCGTGACCCCAGTGTGGTTTCCTAAGCAGCCGACCAGCTCCACGATGCAGCGACCCTTGGGGTGCCCCCCCCACACACACACATCAAAGAGTTTTGCTCTTTGCTTTTCTGGCCTTTGCAGGTCATAACGGTCGGTTGTGATGTAACGTTCAAGGGGGATTTCTGGCAACACGTCGGTTGCTGTGTTTTGTCTTTCAACGTAGCCCGTTTGGAAGTTGAGATTTTTGCCATGTATGCGGAGATTAGAATCTTCCCTCGCACACGGCTTCCACGTGTGTACACCGCACATGCATTTATAGGATGCATATCCGGCTCTCTGCTCTGTATGCATACGGCACATATACATTTACAGAATGTATATGAATGTACATGTGCGTGTGTCCACTGACGCAAGCATTTCCTCCGCGCCGGGGCGGTCCCTGCAGGTCACCAGACCCACCGATCCAGCCACAAGCACAATGTTTGTTGGACAAAACATGGCAGATTTGTGTTTCTCCTTGCTATTCTGTCCTCCCATGTGATTTCCTATATTTACCTTTTGTGCTTTTGAATGATTTTTTTTTAAATGGAAAAAGTGTATGTATTATTTTAATCTTCTTTTGGTGTTTACTGTCTTTTGTCCCTCAAAAAGGCATTGATTCTCCTGTGAATTTTAACTAGAAAGGTCTTCTCCTGCCCTTGTGTGTATGTGTGTGTGAGTGTGTGATTTCACCAGCATGCATCCCTTGTACTGACTTCCTTTCAGCAAGAAACCTTGAATGTCAGTTTCTTTATTCCTGTCTCCCTCGCATTTATCCTGAAAATTTTTTTTTTTTTTTTGGGTAGTTGTCCAGGTTGGCTAATGTTTGTTTTGTCCTGTGTATTTTCAGGAGCTTGCTCTTTTTGTGCTTTTATTTTTATAATCCACTTTATTAGTATATACCTTTGCAGTCCTAACCCTTTTGTGTTTTCGGATCTTAGAGCCCCCTCCCCTTCTGAAAAGGTCACCCCCTTTCTTTGGCCTGTCTTTTCAGTCTCTCTTCTGTCTCCTGTCTTCTCCTCAGGCCATGTTTGCCAGCTACGTCCCTGAAATCATAGAATTAATAGGAAACCGCAAGAAATACGGGGGCTCCTATAGTGCGGTTAGTGGAAGAAAGTAAGTATGCCAAGAGGTTTTGCTGCCTCCGCTGTGGTAGAATCCTCTCTGCATGCCATTTTTTTTTTTTTTTTGGCTCTTTTTTCTTTGTTTCATGCATGTAGGCAATGTTTGCCCGCTACGTGCCCGAAATTGCTGCTCTCATCCTGAATCGGAATAAATTCGGCGGGACTTTTAACAAACATGGAGGCAGAAAGTAAGTCAGTTGCATCAGAAGAGATGGGGTTGAGTGACTTTCCAGAGCCCCTCTGGCAGTGACACAGGAATCCTGCTCTCCCCTCCCCTCCCCTAGAAGCTTCTGTGAGGGAAGGGCCATATTCTGTGTGGGCTGTGATGTCAGAATTACCCCAGGAAGCTGTCCCCTGTGGACCGCCTACCCAGATGTGTGCCCGTTCATGGCTTTCTTCCCTACCCATCGATCCAAGACACATACTGCATTTCTCCTGGAAGGGGTTCCTAGATGATGGGGCCTGTATTTTCTGTTCTAAGCCCTCCCCAGGAAGCTGAGCTCGTTCATTCTTCCCATCGACAGGCTCAGGGACTACATTCTGGTCCCCCAGATGAATGTGATGCCATCCTTGGGGTTTCGTTTGTTTGTTTTTGATTTTTGTGCCGCAGTAATATGGGATTGTCCTCCAGCAGGGAGGCCTTAGGGAGGGCAGGGTCAAGGTCACCTGGCCTACCGTCAAGGCATTGTAGCAGTCAGGAAACCGATTCTCTTCAGCCAGGAGGCACCGAGCTTGTCCTCAGAGGGACTATTACGTTGTTGAGATTCCTCAGGGCAAGACACATTCTATCTGTGGCATGTTGGAGCATGGGTCCTATTCCCAATGAGGCTTTCGTTGGGCTTCCTGTACCTCAGTGCTTTCTTCTTGGGGACTGGCTCACTTTGTGGTCCAGTCATTCCACCAATCTCCGAATCACTGCAATCCTTCATCACCAACCAGAAGCCTGACTCCTCTGTCAACAGCAGGGCCTCAGCCTTTCTGTCCCTGGCCAGAGCGCCAGACAGGGCTGATGGCACCCATTCTTTACTTTACTTTTTTTTTTTTTTTTTAAAGCTTTTTCTTGGGTCCTCAGCTTTGTTGTTTTTGGTTTTGTTCAAACTTCCACAGAGTAAGAGGCACGCTTGAGGGTTAACGCACAGCTCGAGGGGTGTGTCCCTGCGTGCACGCTCAGTAACTACCATCCAGAGCAAGATGGGAGGATTCTCATCTCTCAGTCCTACAGTGTTTTCAGTCCTACAAGCTCTGATCGCAGAACTATGTCTCCCCCCTCGGACACGTTTTCATATGAACTCTTTTTGTTTTGTTTTTTAAGAGAAAATAAAACCATAGCACTGCCCTTCCCCCTCACCTCTTCCCAGCCTGACCGTCCTGTTGGAGAGAGCAGATCTCATCTCTTGTGGGTGATCCCAGAGCTTCCTGAGCTCAGGTGTCCAGTCCTCTGTACAGAAAATGAGGAGGTGGGGGGGGGGAAACAAACCCAAAACTCATTTTCTTGAACTACCCACAGGACACCAGTTTCCTTTCAAAGGAACAAAGGACAGTGGGCGAGAGGAGGCCAGTTGGCGTCTCTTCCGTGGAGGCAGCACATTCCTCCACCTTCCCTCTAATGGAGCCCTCCTCTTCCTATTACCTTAACAGCCCTGGATGAGATGAGAACCAAGCTGTTCTGATTTTTGGGCCATTGGTTGGATCCAAAAGGCCAGATAAGTCCAGAGATTCCCATTGGTCATTTATTCCATTGCCAAGAGGAAAACAGCTCCTCTGCCCATTTCGCCTCTAAGGTGTGAACAGGTCGCCATAAAGCAGAAGGCGTTCTGAGGAACTGGGCTCTCTTAATGGCCTCCCACCCCACTAGCTCTAAGCCAGCATTTCCTTATCACGGCCCCCGAAGAAGCCCATAAAGTCAATTGCCCCGACATGTACATGGACCATATTTCTTGACTCTCACTCCGGGTACAATGTTTTTCTCTAAATAGTTTTCCTGGTCCAGTGTGGGTGGGCTGGGTGACTGGTGGCTTTTGTTGCTGGGCGTCCCAGAGGGGGCCTCAGAGCAGCGGCCTCTCACCCGCCCCTGGTCCGATCTGGTCATCTTTCTCGCCTTGGCACTTCCACTCAAACCCTCAAGTGCTGATGACTTCAGATCACAGACTTCCCGTGGCTTTTGTTCTGTCTATTTCCGTCATCTTTTATCACGGCCTTTTAGCCTGGTTTTTTTTCTCTTTCGCTTTCTCTCTTCTCCCTTTATGAAAATACACACTTTGCTTTTAATGTGCTCTTTGGGTCTCCGATGTCCCCCGACCCTGAGGACAGAGAGTAGGTCCTGTCATCAACACTGGGACCGTTCGTTTTACTTTACACATTGTTTCCTGGTTCAAAAGCTAATTACTAAGTAGTTTAAAGAAGCCCTTTGGTCACTTAGATCTTTCATCAGAAAATATAAGCTTGGGAAAGGAACGGTAATAAAGGGCCATTAGCACCCTTTGTTTGATGTTGTTTTTCAGTCAGTAGAACAAGATTGATGAAATGTTATGTTTGGCCAAAATTTGAGTTTTCATTTGGAATTCAGTGTTGAGAGAATGGGCTGTCAGAATCAATAAGTTTTCTTTTGCTTGGGATACGGGCATGTGGTAGTAATTAGCAATATAAGGTCTTTAGTTGAGCAAGCAAGCATGGACTCTGGCAGTAAACATAATGAGAAACTACAGTTGTTCTATTTCTAACGTCAGAAAGTTTCCAGATAAAATTAAATGCATTTGCAAAAGGAAAGCAGCTAAACTTTGTTGAAAGATAGAGTTCAGACTCTTAAAATAGCATGCTTTGCCCCATGTTTTTGTGTATACAAAAATCTACGCACTAGACGCACGGACGCACGGACGCACGGATGCACGGACACACGACGTATACTCTTCTCCCCAGGGTTTCATCAAGTGAATGCCCAGAATGTAATTAAAATATATACACAGTGGAGGGGATCGCATGTGCGTATTTTACGTAGGAATAACCTCTCAAACAATGCATTAACTTGTCAAAGAATTTAAGGGAACTTGTGACCCAAAGCTACAGACATGTACAACTTTGAAATCTAAAGATGGATTTAGAGGGGGAAAAGAAAAACCCCAATAAACCAGAAAACTAAAAACACAAAAAATTAGGCAGAGAAGTTTAAGGTTTTGTTTATGCAACACCCAATTTCAGGATATTGGAGAACATGGAGATTTTTGTTGGTGCCTCATTTTCGGTTTTCATCTGTGTGTTGGGCGTAACGTAAACAGCCCACGTCGCATCCCCAGGACATCTTCACCATCAACATGGGATCAAGGGCCCGAGTGGCTTTTCCTAACACTCGTATCGATGTTCCTCACTTGACCTCCCACAGGACCTCCAGAGCTAGTGGTAGATGTGGGGACATGTGCACATGTGAGCATCCACTGTTCTCTACTTTATCTTATTACGATGTGTCAGGGCTCCTAAGAACAGGAATTGGGTGTCAGTAATCAGGGGTTCAATGTGTGGCCTATGCGGGCAGTCTCTGTGGGCTGGAGGTCTTGGGGACAAATGGCCTCTTGGGTTGAGAGCCCAGATCTTATTCAGAAGGGTAGCCCACCTGCAGCCCAGCCTGCACCCCCCCGGGGGGCACATTGCTCCTTCTTCCCTCCATGTAAAATCAAAGCTGCTCAGAGGTGGGGGAGCAGGGGGGTGAGGCTCCCATGGCCTTTGGGATCCCAGTTTGCTCTTCTTCCTCCCATAGCCCCTTGCCATTTCCCCCAGAGATTTCCTCTCTGTGTGTGACTCAGCCACTCCTGCTTAGTTTATGAGAACTGACAAGATCATGGTCCGAGGTCACATGGCCAAGGGCCATGGAAAATAATCAGCCACAGAGAGGAATCCATCTGCTGTTAGAGGTAGCCAGGCCGGGGAGCCATCCAGACCTTGTTTTTCCCATGATGGGCTTCTGGGGCCCCAAACTGAGGCAGTCCTTGGTCAGGTGTTTGGGAGAGGGAGAATGAGATGTGTTTGGATTATTTTACTGGTTTCTGGTAGCCAAAGGCTGAGAAGATACAGAGAGAGGAAAATGAATAATAGAGGACAAGATGAAGGCAAAAGGGGGCCAGGAAAGCGAATGAGGTCTACTTGAAGGAAGGGTCTCCTGGCTCATGGAGAGTCTGGGCCCCCCTTCTGGTTGGGGGAATAATTGTCACAGACTAATATGGCTTTAGTTCCAATATAGGAAAGCTGTCCATGGAACTTAAATGCTATGGCTTCCCTCAGAACTTTTCTTTATGTAGACAGAGGAATGCCACATACTTGCAGATGAAAAGGGAATCACTATGACCCAAAGACTTGAGACTGCCTTCTCAGACAGTAGTAATACCTACAAACTTGCATATTTCTTAATCCTCATAGCAACCACATAAAGAAAGCATTACCATCTCCCTTTGCAGTGGGTGAGGAAATTAAGGAACAGAGAGGTTATGAGACTTGCCTGACGTTACGCAGCAAATAAAGGATAGATTTGGGATTTGAACCCAGGGGCAGTCTGCTTCATGGGGTTGTGCTGCCTCTAGCGATCATCTCCTGACACGTCTTTCTGTTCTGAACCCCATGGTCCTGTGGTTGTATGTTTTCCTCCACCCCTGCCCATGGGTGGGGCCACAACACTGTGCACATGATGGAGAGGAAGAGAAATGCCTGAATATCACTAAGGGCCTCTCTCTTCCTTATGCTCGCCTATTGCTTCTAAAGGTCCTGCCCCCCACCCCCAGGGTCAAGGACCAAAGGTAGAGAGGGGACAAATCCATTTCTTCCTTGATTTTTCCCATTTGGTGAGACTAGAAATGTATTTATCTCTTGTACGTTTGTAACGACGAGGGGCTCTCAAGAATGGATGGAGGGATCATTGACCAAAATGAGATTTGTGCCTTATTTGTGGGTCTCGACATTTTCAGCCCCTCTTTGGGGAGTTCATTTCCTAGGTTACCAGCCATGGCGGAC